GCGCGTGCATGTGCGCGTGCGTAATTTAAGAAATCAAAGCACTAGCTGTTACCTAAAACAAACATTTTAGATAAACTGTGATGAAATTTAATTCTCATCTTTGTTTACTGCTATTATACACATTTCAATATCTAGTAAACTACAGCAGGGGTCGGCAAATTTAATTAAAGGACCAGACAGTAAATACTTCAGGCTTTATGAGTCTTTGTCATATAATCTTCTCTTTTTAAAACTGTAATAATCATTCTTACCTAGCTGGTCCCACAAATACAGGCTGCAGGCTGGATTTAGCCCGCAGAGTTGCCAACCCCTTGAAATACACAGCATGAGAAATAGTAATAATGGAATTATAGAATTTTAAAGCTAAGAGAGACCTTGGAAATATTTTAATCCAGTTCTTTCATTTTAGAGATACAGAGATACTTAATGATTTGCTCAAGTTTCAAAGTTAACTTCATCACTCATACATTCACTCTCCATAGACCCAGAAATTCCACTTCTAGGTATTTACCAAGAAAACTGAAAACATATATCCACACAAAAATTCATAAATAAAAGTTTAGCACGCCATTATCCACAATAGCCAAAAAGTGGAAAAACCTATATGTCTACCCACTGATACATGGATAAACAAAATGTGGTCTATCCATACAGTGAAATATTATTTAGCCACAAAAACAAATAAAGTACTGATACATGCTATGATGTGAATGAACCCTGAAAACACTGTTAAGTGAAAGAAGTCAGAGATAAAAGCTTACATATTATACGATTCCATTTATATAAAATGTCCAGAACAGGCAACCCCCCAGAGACAGAAAGCAGACAGTGGTTGTCAGGAATTAAAGGGAGGAAAAAATGACTGACTGCTAACAGGTATAGAGTTTCTTTCTGGATTGATGAAATGTTCTAAAATTAGATAGTGGTGACAGTTGTACAACTCTGTGAATAAACTGAAAACCACTGAACTATACGAGTAAAAGGATTGATTTTATGCTTTGTGAATTACATCTCAATGAAGCTTAAAAAAAAAAAGAGTCCAGATGAGGTCGCCTTAAAATTGTGTGTAAAACAAAACGTTAAATGTCAAATATTTTACAAGAAATAGGCAGCTTTTGATACATCACTCACTAGGTAACACATTATTCCCAAACTGTTTTTGAGAAGCTAGCTGTTCTATGAACAACAAAAGTGATACCAGCAATAGGACTTTTCTTCTAAAATTTGCATGACAAATACTGAAATACGCCCTTTCTTATGTGAAATGTGCTTGCACGAGACTATGCCATTGCAGAGAATGAGAATTCCCGGAGGCAGGGGCCTGGTGTTTTGTTCACTGTTGCACCATCAGCACCAAAAACAGCGCCTGGCACCCAGCAGACACTCAGCTCTATTTACTGAATGAAAATGCAAAACTCCAGCTTCAGACTGAGGGAGAGGCAGTATTTAGCAATGCGCCATTCATTACCTTAATGCAGATAAAAATTTATAAACCTCAAAAAATATTCATAACATTTGGTTCTTTGGTTTTTAATAAAATCAAATGATTGATTTCTCTCTTCCTGTTCCAAAACAAAAAAAAAGCATAGTTTTGCAATTTATTTTAATCCAAGTCCCACTTTATCTCATGAACTCTCATAGTATTCTGCCAGTACGTTATAATCGTTTAAAATGTTACATAACACCTTGGGATATCGTAATGCAGGTAGTCAGCCTTTCTTCTCTTCTAGGAAAATGGACACTATTACCAGTTATCATTTGAAATTGTGATAATTTATTACTAAAGCATAAGGAATGATTGCATCTGAATTGCAGAATAACCACAAGAAGTAAATAAGTAAAAGATTCAAAGTTTATAAAGGCACAAACTCATAATTTCTAAGCACAAATGAACAAGTAGAAACATATTTTGATTCTAGAAAAATCTAGCAGTAGATAAAAGAGATGAACAAAAACAATATGGGAGGGAGGGTAGAGCTCTGGTAGAGAGCATGCTTAGCCTGCACGAGTTCCTGGGTTCAATCCCTAGTGCCTCCTCCAAAAATACTTTTAAATAAATGAATAAGCAAACAAACCTAGTTACCTCCCGCCCCCCAAAAAAACCCCAGAAATAAACAATGCAAACTCAAAAGAATAAACTAACCTAAAATTGCCAAAGACAGAAATTTTCTGTACGCCCAGAATGAATGTAAAGTTGTCAGCTACGTAGCTTCCTCTCTCGGGGCCAAGCTGACTTGACCCACGTTACAACAAATGCAGTATTAAGTAGTGCATCACTTTTTTTCACTTATAAACATTTCAAAGTTTCCCAGAAAAATTTACATTATTAACTAAAATTAGCAGTTTTTTGTGTTTTTAAGTTCTCTTATGGTGAGGAGGTGTTTGCTGGCCTTTATTAATAGGTTTCATGCAAAGGTTGTGGGAACTGAGTTTAGAAGGCTTTGAAAATTCTAAACATTGCCCTGTACATCTGTCTTCAGGATAAGGCGATTGGCAAAGCAACAGTGTACAACTTCTGATTCGGTGTTTTAAAATTCCGCTTGAAGTACACAGCGTGGGAAGTAGATTTGTGAAGATGGAGCGATTCATTTACATTCAGCAGCACCGGGACAAGGAGAGGAGAAAGCAACTCCCTCTTAGAACGTGCGTCAGAGGACGAGGGGCCCAGGCAGAGCAAGCGCACCTGCAGTGGCCGCTCCTGGCGGGGGAGAGCTGGGCCAGGGGAGAGTGACTAAGACGGAGATTAGCTTCAAGGAGTAAAGAATAAAACAAATGTAGGCAAGTCGAACGTTAATAAGTAAAAGGGGTAAGTGTATTATTGCCTTAGGTTCTACCTCAAAAAAAATAGCCAGAGTGTGCCTCTTTTCTCAAAACATTATTCAAGTTCATAGAAGTAGCTCCTCTATTTTAACTTAAGGATTAAAGCAAGCTGCCGCTCTCACGTGAAGGTATGAGGCCACCAAGCAGCCACCTCTCCCGGTGTGCGTCCTTAGTGTGACAGTACTCTCTCTGCAAACTTCTGCTTTGCTGCGACCTACCTCCGGGTTCTTGAGGGTCATCTCGATGCTGGCGGCAGGCCCAAACCCGGTGAGGGACTTAATGTGGATCTGTGTAGGCAGAGGCCGCCTGCACTGGCAGTACACTGAAAACGCCATGGACTTCAAGTATTGAATGTAGAAAACTTGCTCATCCTTCATTGTCTGCAGCATGTACTGGCAAGGCACAATCTGCAGACACAAATATAAACACTACTCGAAAGAGATCTAATATGGTAACAGGAAAGCTGGGAAATGAAATGGCATGAATTCTTTACTTGCGCGGGGAAGGGAACTGTGGTCTTAAAATACAGAAATGCCAAACATAATATAATTCCCCTTAACTGCTTTCAGTGACAGAGTCCTATATTCCAAATGTACACCAGCAATTTAAGAAGAGGTGCCCCTTTGCCGGTCAAGTCACACTGTTGCTTAGAAATTACCCTGCTCCCATTTTAGGGATAAATTCTCGATTTATCGTTGCTATGCTCTGAAACTTAAAGACTTGCTTTTTGATATATTTCTCATTTTTATAATGTATACACATAGTATACATAGAATCTTTGGAATTACTGTCTATTCATTTGAGACAAACTTTAAATCAATAAAAAACTATCAACAACCTATTCTGGTAACTTTAATTTCAATCTTTTGATTCTGTAAGATGGCTTTAATTAAAGCGACAGTAAAACAAAATCCAAACATTCAAGAATATAATTTTTTACCTATTAATTATAAATTAAAAAAATTACTACACTATAAAGCTGATGAGGGTTCAGTGACAATGGATATACGCTCACTCACTGCTGAAGGAAATGTGAGTAGCTATAGCCTTTTGGGAAAGGAATGTGACATTAGTTATCAGTATCTTTATCTAAGAATTCACTTTAAGAAATGACCTGAAATGTGAAAAAGAGATTATTCATAAAGATGTTATTATGGTTGTATTTATAACAGTGAAAAGGTAGAAAAAAGTAATCATACCTCACCGTGCAGGAACGGTTAAACATGGAAAATACACAGTCAATAAGTACGTTGCTTGTGAGAATTTTAAGTAACATGGAAAAGTGTTCATGAATGACTTTAAATACAAAAATACTACAAGTTACATTAAAACTATGATCTCAACTGTGTAAACAAACAGAAAAAAGGCTAGAAAAACATCAAAATCTTAATAATGGCTGAATCTAAAAAATAGAATAATTTTTTCTATTCTGTATACTTCCAATTTATGAAAAAATCATGAACTTGTATTTACTTTCATAAAAACAACAATAAAGTAAAAAAACCTTGCAAACAGTTACCTGGAGAATGAAAGAATTTCTCATATGCTCAGGTAAATTATCCAGCATTTCTGTGTAGCAGCGCATCAAACTCAACAGCCAGAAGTTTCCGGAAGTGGAGTCTTCCTCTGCGGTGTAAGTGAAGGGGTCCACCATGTAGACGACCACAGCTGGAGGGTAGGCCTGGCCGTCTGCGGAGTCAGGCTCGGTGGGGATTCCTATCCTCTCCCTTTCTGTGACACTGCAGAGAGAGTCCCTCGTAAGACACTTCCACAAAATAAACCCATTCCAGAGCACACTGACTCCCTGGACAATGATTACAGATTAAATGGAACAATAATATGCAGCAAAATGAAGGCAAACCAAAGCAGCTGGCACCAAGATCGACGGAAAACGACACTATGCTCCTCTAACATGGGAGATGGCTTTTCCAGCTGTCTTTCCCCCTGTGGCTAGATTCTGCGAAGATGCTTTGTCATACTATTGTGTTAACAGCAAGAGTTTACTGTTACTGTCCATATATTATACTAATATAATAATATTAATAGTAATCAATATAAACTTACTAAGTATATTAACTAGTAAGTATACTGATAGTCCTATTATACTAGGAATAGTTTTAGGCTAAAAAGTTTAATAATACTAATAATAAGTTTCTAAGAAGTCTCAAAGTTCTAAGTTACAGACTGACAGCTGTTACTTTCTCTTGGGAAGGAGAGAAACAAAGCCCTTTACTGGGTTTAGAGACTCGTGTGGCTGAGGGGAAGGGGGCAAAGGAAGAGCAGACAGGGGTCCAAGCTGAAGGTGCTTGTCATGGACACCGAGTACCACACCTTTCCTGTCCATCCTGCGAGGGCTGAGAGGAGCTCTGCCCAGGCTCCGTGTCTCCACCACAGCCTATGTTCCCTTGTGTTCTCTCTGCAGAGCTGGCCCCGGAGCTGGGGTTCTGCCCTCCGACACTACCGCTGAATCCTGAGGAGGAGGTAGTGCTTATCTGGTTGACGACGGGAGCAGAGGCAGATGAGGAGGCCGGTGGCACAGAGGAACCAGGTGCGGAGCCGCCTGCTGCCGGGTTTGCAGCGCTGCCGCTAGAGGCGGGATTAAATGCACTGCCAGTGGAGGGAGCGGCCGGCCCTGAACTTGAAGCTGGAGGCCCGGCGTTCCCAGGTGCAGCTTGTCCCTGCGCTGCTGCTGGTGGGGTCTGGTACTTAGGTGGTATCAACAGGCTGCTGTCGAGCTGCAGAGTGGCTAGATAAGGTGCTGAAAGAGTATGCAGAGAGGCGACATTAGGCATGTTCTGCAGTGTCTGGCTGAGTCAGAAATTCAGAATGGCCACTTTGTAAAAAATTACGCTTCCATGCTGCGATGCTCTGATTATAACACCCAAAATGCTATCTCCGCACCTGAACATAAGCTTATATGTTCTGCAAACAGAGGTGAACATGGAGCTACTTGTTATAAATTCTGGAGAAAAGCTTCACTTGAAAAAAAAGAAAAGAATATATGTGCGCATAAAAATTAGCATTTAACTACCTAGAATGCAAAAATTCGACCTAAATAAATACAGTGACGGAACACTAACATTCCCTGACACCAAAGAAGCGTAATGGTGCATCTCGACTGGGGGGCGGGGCACTCTGCCATATGACTTCCCAAATTCGACTTGACCAAATAAATCCCCACTTACCTAGGTGATGGCGGCAAACTTGCGCATAAAGTTTGAGTCTGGAATGATTGTCGTTCTCCTCGCTGCCCCAGGGCTGGTTAAACCACTCACTCACAAGCTCGTCCGGCAGCTTCTGCGCAGCGGTCCTCCCCACGCGCAGGATCCCATCGCGCAGCACTTTGCAGATGGGCTTGTGCTGCCCAAGCCTGCACATCTGACAGCACAAACCAGACCACTGTTACAGCAAGAGCTGCTCCTTGTTCAGCAGCATCACTCACTACGGAGATTCTTAACCACACACGGGGAAGCATCTTCCTTGTTCTCTCAGGGCTGCCACAGGCAACCAAACCATTGTAAGCTGGTCCTTTCTAGTAACTGTAATGTGCCCTGCAATTGCTGTCTCTCCAAAACCTGGACTAGCCTCTCTAAGGAAAAATAAATGTTTCTTCACTCCAGCCAATTCCTCCTGCATAAGGGAAGATTGCTGAGCACTACCTGATTGCTAATGGTCAAGTGAAGAATTAAGCAGATTCCTGCCTACAAAGGCTGACTGAGACATATGTCCACTAAAACCTCTTAAGTAATCCGTACTCATGATTTTTCCCATAAGACGACATTAAAATTTTATGGGCCATCTGTTACGCTGTTACAGAGATTTGGAGATCACTAATAGCAGAGGCCACTGAAGCAGTAGATATGCTGATCACTTCTTAAAAGTAAGTAGTTTTCTTTAGCACAATGAGATTCTGTTATTAACCTCTAGGACATCAAATGGGTGCTTACGGCAGAGAATTAGCAATACACACCTGCAGAAAGTAAGCTACTTAACTACTTACTGACCAGCAGAAGAGGTCATACTACTGTGGAAGAACGGAAGGCTTAAAACCTCTATAAAATTCTCTAGTGCACACTCATCTGAAGCAGATATGCATTACTGCCAAATGAGCAATCCTAATAAAGTCATTAAGATCTAAAGCAATCCTGCAATCCTTTTTTGTTTTGTAACTTATGTTGAAAGCTTCATTCAAGAGAATGGCCAACTTTAAAACTGCTTTGACAAATTTTCTCTCAGGGTAATCATGATTTAATATTATTAACACATTCATGGACCAGGCACTGTTCAGAAATTACTGTATCCAAGAGTCTCCTTTAGTGGTTTAATTAACACCATCATCTGACACACTGGCATCTTCTCACTTCTTTGTAGCAACACATAAGTTCACAACTTCATGTGTACTCACACACACAGTGATGTTCTATTATGAAATATTTTTGAAATTTAACTTGGCATCTGATTTAACAAACACTTTCATATGCTTATAACATGCCTATCACAGTTCTAAATACTTTATAAATACTAATTTCACTGAATCTTGTCAAATATAGATACCTTAAGTATAAGGTACAAAAAACTTAGTGTATCTGTACTTTAGCAAAAGATATGTGGCACCTGCTCTTAGATACGCATGATTCTAATTTTTCAAAAGTAACAGGAATTTATGTACTAAATATATAAAATTATCTAAACGGCTTTTACTATTGTTAGACATTATCAATATGTATCAAAATTTTACTATTACAATGAATGCAGTGTCAAATATAACATGAGAGACATGATTCACTAAATGTCTTTTGATTCAGAAACTGTCAAGCTAAACATTTTTATACTGTTTTCAGGAACTGCTCCCTGCCCCCTCAAGAGATGTGCTTTCTTTTTGTAAAGTTCATCTTCTGAACAATCACTATCCCCCGATGAGCAATACTTTTAAACTCAAGCACATAAATGGGGAAAAAAACAGCTGATGGGATTTTAAGATGTATGTGGTAAAGCTGGTAGAGGGAATCTTTTAAATCTAATGAAATATAAAGCTAAGATGAGAAAGCAATGTACTTCTAGAGACACATGCCAGTTTAATTCTTTTCTTCATCCTACAACTATTTGCAAATGTTCTCTGAGACCTACTTTGAAGATATTTGTTCTTTAAAATTTAGTCATAAAAACGAGAAACCATCTGAAGACTTGTATGATAAAAACAATCTTCATATCCTTCTCACCTCGTATACAGCACTCAAGTCCCTGAAAAATGTTTTGGCTCCTTCGAGCAAGGCCTCATTTTCTGGACACACCACAATATAGGCAACATCACGGTGGCCTCCATATGGGTCCAACAACAGCCTCTCCCAAAACGGCAAGGAGAACGGCGAGATGGTGAGGAAGTCCTTGTCGTAGCCGACCAGCAGGGTGGGGATGGGCAACGGCTCAGGGGATTCTTCTGAACCTGAAACAAAACTGTAGTTTAGGAAGCTGCTCGAAAGGCTGCTTCCACAACCTGGACAGTGTGGAGTTTCCTGGCGCATTAGTCTTAATTCTGGCATCAGAAATTTTATTGTAGGTTGACGTGACACTTTTCTTTAAATCCTCTGATTAAATGGCCTCTGATGAAGAAACTTAATTAAATGAGTCAGAACGTGCTTATAAAGGTTCAACAAAATCAGAGGGCAGACTAGAGTAAGTTAAAGTTAGTTTTCCGAACAGTACTATGTCCTTTTTTTAAGATAAGCATTATAATCCTAACTATGAAGAAGCTGACAGAACTGATTCAGAAGTTCATCCAGATGAAAACGCAGTGAGGACTGGAAGGGCGAGGAGACTCTTAACGATTACTCTATTTAGGGATTATTTGTGACTGTGACTGTGACTGTGCCAAGGATGTTTAGAAACCTTATCTCCAAAACTGACTTTCAGAAAACAGAGATTATAAAACTTAATAGTCATGAGGAAAAAGATGCTGTTTTGTCAGGGAAGCAAGGACTTGACATAACTAAGCTGCTTTTCATGAACAAAAAACCGGAAGGAATTCTACCGTAGGTTCCCCGTCCTGCCATTTTGTGGAACTGCTGCCAGGTGAGTGGCCCCTGCACATGCTGGATGTTCTCCCAGGTCCTGCCCGTGCGCTTCTTCTGGATGGCATCCTGGAGAAAGGGCTGCAGGGACAACAGCATACGGACCACATCTTGGGAGGAGAGCATGCTGATGTCCAGCACTGGAAGAAGAGAAATGAAATGAAAAGGACCAGAAATCATAAAGGGGGCTGGCACTCCCCTCTTTCCTGCCGTCATTTTGGACCACAGTTATAGTCCATGGCAAAGACATCACTGACAGCAGAGTCTATTTACAGTAGATTCTAAAATACTTGACTTAGGCATCTAGAGGGAAGATATTCTTCTCCTAAAGTGGAGAAAATACTTTATAAGTTCTTGTTGGAAGTAATAAAAGAGGTTAACTATTAGATTGCCTAAAAGTGGAAAGGTAGATAGGTCTAAGTTTTGGGAATCATACAAACCTGTTTCCAAAGTTGCTAATAAGAAAAGAGAGCTGTAAAAATTTCTTAATTATTGTTTCTTACTTTAAGTTTGTTAATTTGTTTATTTACAAATATCAATGTTCTGATTATATGATGAAAAGGAACTTAATGGAAACTTTAAAAAACTTTCAAAAATGCTCTTAATGTAAAATATTTTCACAAAATACAAGATGCATAGAGAAAGAGACAACCTTCTGCACAGGCAGAAGCCCATGAAAACACGGCAGAGGCGTCATCTGTACAGAGAGGAAGGAGGGGATTCGTCGTTTCAGAACATATATTCTTCCTGCTAGCAGGAGGGGCTCTCACTCTAGAATCTGAAGAGTCTGAAACTCTACCCTAAACTGCACATGCATGCACGAACATATGTGTATTTCTCCCCGGGGAGAAAGTCCATAGTCCTCATCAAATTCTCAAAAAGATCTGAAGAAGGATCTAATTAGGTAGGAGGTGATCAGCTATGAATCTGCACAGCTAACTTCCTAAAGACCTTTCCTTCCTCTTACTTTTCTAGCTGATTAGGAAAGGGGCACGGATGGAAATCTATGATTTATCTACCAACTAAATCTGAAACACACGGAGCTCAAGGGGGCTCAGATGAGTCCCTAAATTAAACGCAGGTTGCAAATTGATGGCCCACAGAGGTTTTGTTTTTAATTTGGAATGTACTTCTCCAGGAAATCTCATATACAAATCTGAATTTCCAGCTTCTCTTGAAAAACTGGAAGGCTGCCTGACAACCCTGGGGCCGAGAGCATACTCCTGCGCGAACACCGCCTGCTGGAGCCGAGGAGCAGCTGCCGCCTTCAGACAGTTCTGAACGGCGCCCGCTCCATGGCCTGCCTGAGACTGAAGCAGCATTAATCACCTCCATCTTCAAGCCTGTGCTTCTTGTTTCGTTACAGTAAAGAAAAAAGTAAAGCACTTCTCGTACCTATGGCTCTAACAAAAGTAGGAAAAGGACAGACTAAGAGAACCACAGGTTAGAGAAAAATAAAAGCACACATAATTCTTTGCGAACTCTATTCTTGTGTATACAAAACAGAAAGTATGTTGCGAAAGGACACAATTTAGGACATAGCTCTTCGCAAACCTGGCTCCGCACATCATTCATTTACCTGATGTGTACTTTTACGAATTTGAGTTTGGTATCTCTAGCTCCCCTGCAATAAAATGTGCTATTCCTCATATCCAAAGACGGCACTACTGATCCACCCACACAATCTGTTTTTCTCTCTAAAGGCCACTATCTAGTAAAAGGAACCACCTGAGATAATCATCCACAATTCTTTAGGGGAAAGACAGCACTTTCTTTAATTCATAAATTCAAGCAGCAGACTAATTAAAGGCCTGCTAAGTATAAGGCACTGAGCTTAAATTCAAGCAGTTATAAAAATGAATACGCCCTTGATATCCTTCCTCAAGAGCCTCCACCTCCAAGAAGCTTCCCCGCCTGGCCTCCGCAGAGAACACTGCTACTCCCTGCTCCACTGACCCCTGTCCTCTGGACATCCTTTTAGTATTCCAGATTCCAAACTACGTGTATTTAAGAAGCTTACGAACCCTTCCCCTCTGCAGCACTGAGGACTATTCAAAAGCAGGGTCCATGTTTCACTCATGGAACCCCTCCAGCCTGGCCTCTGTGCCCACCGTTCCACAGAAACAGCTCTCACTATGGTCAGAAGACGTGCTTAATCCTTATCTTAAAAGCTCCGCTGCCTCTGAAGGCCCGATGACCACTCTCTCTTTCATGAAACCTGGTTACATTGCAGAACTCACCAAGCCCTGTTCCAGGCCCTCCTCCTGCTCTGTGCTTTCCTCCTGCTCAGTGAGCTCTCCTTCTCCTCGGTGCCCCTGACCTGAGTTACCGTCCGCATGCCACCTACTCCCTTTCCCCTGAGCCCCAGGCCGTGAAGTCCTAAGCGTCGACCTGACGCCTCTACCTGGACATCTCAAAAGAGATCTTTAAAACTTCCAAAACTCAATTTATGGCCTTTCTCCCCAGACCTGGTCTTCCTCTAATACGCTTATCTTTGAATGACACCACTGTCGGTCCAGGTATGCAAATCACAAACTGGGACTCTTCCTTAGTATCTCGCTCTCCCTGATCCCCAGACTTCAACTCATTACCAAGTCCTGCAGTAATACTGCCCAAACATCTCTTAAATGTTTCCACTTCTTTTCCATCGTCTTTGCTTGGACACTAAGCCAGCCTGTTGCTTCTTATTTCGTCTACTGCAACACCTTCTGTCTCCTCAAGTCCATTCCTGCCATTTTCTAATCCA